CAGGTCATGTCCCCCCACCATGGTGGGACTATGAGCCACGGTCCCTTCTGTCTTAATGTCATGGCCACCAACACTGGGGGAAGCAGAAAGGCCATGTGTGCTTAGAAAAAAAAAAACAACAGAAACCTTTTCCTTTGCATCTTGCAGTGCACAAATTGATTCACGTTGGTGGTGCTCAGCTTCTGGAGCAGCTGGCTCAGCAGGTACAAGGTGCAGTTTGCACCATCCCAGCGCAACAAGATGTGAGCTGGCAGGCCACCGAGGCATCTGTCACAGCACAGGGCATTGTCATGGCTAAGCATTAGTGTAACTGCAAGGCTCTGCCCATCCCAGGCACCCCCCATGATGGAGAAGACCTGGGCTGCCCATGCTGAACAGCCTCTGGCACTCCCTTGGTTTCTTCCCCAGACTCAGCAGAGCCTTCCAACCAAGCAAAAATTAAAAAAAAAAAAAAAAAAAAAAAAAAAGAGGAAAAGCAGAAACTAAACAAAAAAATAAAGGAGCAAATGCAGCACTTGACTCCAGAGGCCTTTGCCGTGGGAAGGAGCTGTCCCAAAGTGGTGTGTCATCAGTGGCACAGCAACCCAAACAATCAGCCCCTCTGTGCACCGTGCCAGCTACAGCCTGGCCAGGGATGAGGGCGAGGGCAGTGGGGAACAATGGCCGTGGGGACAATGGGGATTGTTCAGGGCCACTCTGCTCCTTGGGAGGGGACAGCCCCATGCAGCCCTGGGAGAGGACCTGCGGCTGTCACCAGCTCTGAGCTGCCAAACAAGTGGCAGATCTGGGGTGCCCTTAAGAAGGGTGTGTGCCCACTGGGACACTCAAGGGATGCTGAAAGTGGCAGTGAATATGTTCATTAAAAGGAAGAGTGTGAACACATGTACGGTGAAGATGAGCAGCCTCTGCTGAGAAACCACCTCCTGGTGCTGAGCTGGAGTTTATGGGGTGTGCGGTGCGGGGGGCGCATGGATAGTCGGAGTAGGGCCAGGCTGCGCAGGGAGCAGCTGACAGCCTGTACGCACCCATGACTGCTCTACTGATGCTGTTACCTGCACATGCACTCACTGCAAAGGCACATGGAGGTTGCTCCCTTTGACCTGAACTCATCCTAAAGCTGGTGACTCCGTCCAGGAGCCATTGATGCTAGGTTACCCATCCCTGCTTCATGCCATCAGGCAAATAATTTCAGCTTTGCAAATGGATGTGGGTAGTTTATCTATTAAACCTGGATGATGGCATCTTTTTGCCCTACTCACTTTTCATGTTTCATCACCCTTTGGTGCTCTCCGCACCCAGGACAGTGTTGCCCCCTGGTCTGCCAAAGCCTGGCCAGTGGCACAGCAAAGTGGGGGTACAGGCTGGCAAGACGAACCAGCTCCTGGAGCAGCAGCAACTTGCTTTGGAGCAAGGATCCCTTTTCCCTAAGGGAGCCAGAGGAATGCCGGGGTCGGGGGGGGGAGGTTGGTGGTGGTGCGCGCGCGCACACACGCTACGGGGCACGGGTCCATCTGCCAGCATTGCTAGGCTGTGACTACAACTGTTTATCTTGAAAGCCAGAGGGTTACATTCTCCAAAGTTTCCAGGGAGAAAATACAGACCCTTCCTTTCAGCTGCATGCTGGAGGATGTGTAACCTCGATGAATTCCTTGGTTTTGTTTGGCTTGGGTACACTGCGCCGAGCAGCATCACCGGCCAAAGGCTCTTCTGGCTTTGATCTGGGAGCTAGGTGCGCTTCTTGACAGGTTAATAGCCGTCAAACTCTGCAGCCTTTCTGCCTGGGAGTCTAGACTCTTCCACCTGCTGTGTACATATTAACACAGGCTTACACACAACTCGCTCTGTATATGTACCCGTACACAACAGCCAGCCTCACCAAGGATGCAAAGCGAAAATCTTCAGCAGCCTTCCAAGGTAAGCAGCGAGAATTAAGCCCCTGGTCTCTGCATCAGACATAGCTGCAGCATGGAGCCGGGGGAGAGCCAGCCTGTCCTTGTGCTGCTCGTGTTTTGTTCCCAGCAGAAGTTAGGGCTACCAGAGTTGAAGGTCTCCTTTCCATCACTGTCTGCAGCAAAATGGCCTCATGCTGTGGGCTTTGCCCCTTCCCCTGAGCTCTGCCGAGGAGCTGCTGGGATGGGTATCCCAGGTGCAAAAAATACCACTGTGGGGGAGCTCCCTGTATCAGAGTGGAGAAAAACGTGCATCCAGCCAGCCGCCCTGTATTTTGGCTGGCATCTCCTATTCCTAACGCCTAGCACCACACTCATGATGGTCAGGAATCCCACGAGCAGCATTAGCCCCGTCACACCTACGATCACCTCCAGTCGCGTCAGCAGCGTTACAGAAAACACAAGCAATTTGTGCGTCAGATTGGTCAACACCAGCTCTCGCCTGCAGTGAAACCGCAGAGCTGCTCCCCATCACAGCACACACTGCACGGAGCTTTCAAGAGAAATGAATCATCTCCGAGAAAAAACAAACAAAAACAAAATAAAACACCATGTTTGTAAAATACAGGGAAAGGCACAGCTGTGGGCCAGAGCCTTGAGAAAACAAGATGGCTCCAAAGCACCTGGAGGTGCACCCAGCGTTAGCAGCAACGGGCCGTCGGGCCGGGCCCAGCCAGGCTCTGCGCGGTTGCTGCTGGCCCTGGCAGTCTCAGCGTGTGCCGTGTCCTGCTGAGCGTTCGGGGGGACCTGTCCTGCGGGGCAGTGCAGCCACTGCCCGCTCTGTGGCTGTCGGGAGGGGAGGACGGGTCCTGGTCAATCTGCATCAGTGGCTCCAAAAACATGTTTAGGGGTTTTCCCCGCCCAGGAGTGCATATACTGTGTCATGGCAGCACATGAAATGAGCGGCTCGGTGTGACACCATGGTACCAGAGACGCCAGACTGGGCACCGGCCGGGAAGCCTGCACATTTGCACTTCAAGGGTTTTGCTGTGTTTTGTTTTACACAATAGCAAAACTGAACAAATCTTGTCTCGCCTCCTCCCACACCAGTGTCTCCCATTTTGGGAAGTGCAAGATCTGTGAGCTCCGGTCTCTCTGCGGCTCACAGTCCTGCTTCAGGCCTGGCTGGTGCACAGGGTGCTGGACGGGTGCTGACACCTGCGCCGGGGCTCGGCGGCTCCAGCCAAGCAAATGCAAAGTCTGCTTTCATCTGCAGCAAGTCACGGTCATCTCCTTCATCCCCACAACCAAACTCCATGGCCACCAGCCACCTACGAAGGGCAAAGGGATGGTTAACAGGCAGCAGCAGTGCTGTGGCATCGTGGTCTCTCCATGGTGCTCATGCTCAGTGCTGTACAAGCCTCAGTGATGCAGGGGCCATAGCCCAGATCCCTCAGTGTCACTGTCCTCTCCCTCTCCATCAGAAAAAGGGATTTAGCTTAAACATTAAGACCTCGGGCAACCTGCAATGCTTTGGCGCTTGCTCCACAGGCTGCTATGTCAAGGCAAAGTTTTCTGTGAACTCCAGCGGGACTTTTGACCAGGTACTGGAGGCCTTCCCAATGTGAAACATCAATGTGGCTCAAGACAAATGAAGAGACAAATGAAGAGGGGCGGGGGCGAAGAGTAGTTTGGGAGAAATGATCAGAATTATTTGACTGGGTGCAAATCAGGCAAATAGGTTTAGCTCAAGAAGAAAAAGGTCTCTGGCTGAACTTCCTCCACATCAAATCCTTCACCTTTGTTTGGTTTCAAAACATTTTCATTTTGAAACTCACCTTCTGGTTGTTTGCTTTTATGTTGAAGGGTTAAGTAACCTGAAAAACTAAACAAAACTATTTGCTCTGGGCTGGCTAAACTGATTCATTCAACCCACACTGTTCCCTTTTCCCCCTCCAGGTTCGTTGTTTTGCTTTAAAAAGAAAAAGCAATAGCTTTGAGCTGATCTGATTTTTTTTTTTCCCCCTCTGCTCACCCTCTCGCACTTTTTGGTTTGGCTACCAGGCTGAGAAATCCATTACCCACAGGGATCCCAGGCCAGCCTGACCCACAACCGACAGTAAAAGAAACCAGATTTTCTGTGTCTTTTTAGCCCCTGGCTTCCTTCTTGGGCTTTCCCACATGCTTCCAGCTCCCACCGGGGCCGGTGGCTGAGCTGGATGTCGGGGAGGGAGAGGACCCTACGCAAAGAGGATGCACTTTCCCCTCCTCTCCATGCATCCAGCTCTTGGGGTCAGTGCCGGTTTCCACATACGGCCCCTCATCTCAGCCACATCCCGGCACAGGGACAGCCATCAGATGCCCTCTCTGGTCCTGAAATCCTACAAATGCCCAAGAGGCAGTGAGACAGTGTCAGGAAGAAACACCAAGGAGGCAGCAAAGATGGACTTAATATGAATCTTTAATGCACAGAACAAGCTGCCGGGAGCCTTGCGAACGAAGGCTGCGCACGGAGCCGGTCCATCGACTCAGTGGTGCAAAAGCCCAGCTTGCCTGCAGCGTCCCGGCACCTGCCTGGCATCCCCCTCCGGGACCTTTGCTGGCAGCGCGGTGTCACCGGCCACCCGCGCCGCCTCCTCCTGGTGTCCTCGGCCACCACGGCACCGGGGCCCCTCGCCCCACAGCTCCTGCTCAGCAGCAGGGCAGGCAGGGCAGGCGGGGAGGGGGTCACCCTGCACCCAGCAGCTCCCCTCTGCCTGGCCCTGGCCTCGAGCGGGTATCTCCTCCTTCCAGGGTTTTGGAGCGTGTAGTCCAGGAAATTCAGTAAGAAAAGATTAAAAAGGAGAGGCTTTTATGCTGAGTCAAATTAGGCAATTTCTTTTTTTTTCTCTTGAAAAATTAAAAAAAAAAAGGAAAAGAAACTAAAGTCCAACTTGCTGATTTCTTGTTTCTCTGCCATCTGCATGAGAAAGTCCTGTTTGGCCTCGCTGTCCCCTTCCACCCCCTCCGAACACCACCCGACCCCAAACCCCACCAGCCACTCAGCACATCATGAGTCCTCGACTCCTCAGAGTCCCTTTGCCTCCCACAGCTCCAGGCCTGCACCTTCCCTCACCGCCCCTTGGATTCCCCATACGTGTTGCGCAGCATGGAGACCATCTTCTCCTCGCACGTTACTTTGGTGTCCTTTAGGATGCTGTACCAGACCATGCCAGGTGGCCGGACTTCTTCGCTGCGGCAAAACAAGTAGGGCATGGTCTCGGTGCGGCTCTGGATGTAGGCACTGCGTAGCAGGGTCGAGCAGTGACTGCTGACCTTCTCCAGCCTCCTCAGGATCAGGTGTGCCTTCCTGGAGGGGACAAACAGAGACAGAGACAGAGCAGGGTGGGCAATGCAAAGAGGAGACTAGGAGCCAGGACTCCTGTGTTCCACCACCATCTCTGCTTTGTGACAAGAACGGACAAGACCTGTTGCCTAAGACAATGTTTCAGGTGGAGAGAAGCTCTGCTTTGGCCAAAAGTTCTGGGTGTATCTACTGTTTCACAGCACCAGGTCAATGGGGCTGGAGGGACCCCAGGTCTGACCCACTAGAGCAGCTTGGGTGCCCTGGGGACACTGTCTGCTGCTGGCCAGATGGTCACCACCAGCACCATGTGCTCCTGGCAGGCTCCAGTGCATGTGCTGGCCCTCGTGCACCCTGGTGAGACCCACAGCACTTCACTGTTCCTGACTGATAAGCCCAGCCCTCCTTTTCCTGTTTTCCCAAGTCTCCAGGAGGCAAATGGCCCAAAAGGACTGACACTAGAAGAGCGAGGAATAAAAGCACAACACATTAAGACAAAACAAAATAAACCCATAAGAAACCAAGAATCCCCTCGTGGGAGTCTGTAAAGTGCTAAATCAAACAAAGGGAGGGGAAGAGGGTTTACTTCAGCGGTCTGAAAGTCTCAAGATCACAGACTATTTCCTCTCCCTCTGGTGCCACAGGAAAGCTCTGGATTCGGGGCTAGGGGATTTCGCAGTTCCTGCAGGAATGTAAATTCCCGATAATGATATGTCAGGGGCAGCACTGTCAGTCAGTGAGGCATAAACATGGGGATTATTTGATTATGAAAGCTGAGTGGTGTTTCAGCCCAGGCTGTGACTCCCAGCCGGGGGGGAGCGCCGGGAGCCCGATGTGGCCGCACACCCTCAGGCACCCAGGGATGGGACGCTGGGGAGGGGCTGGCCAGAGTCACCCCAGCACCAGAGCAGAGGGCAGAGATGGCAGCAGGAGGCAAGAGAGCATGCCGGCATCCCCAGCTGGCTACAGACCTCTCCCTCCAAGGTGGGAAGAGTGGATGAAACGCTGTAGGAATCCACTGCTCCTCCAGGGCTGCACATGGAAAACTTCCCTGCTCCTCCGGGGCTCAGGGTCGTCTTTCCACGGGAAGGGAAGCGCAAAGGGAGTTGGCCCTTCTGGGACAACACTACATGGTATCCGTGTATCGATTTAATCAATAAAAACAAGCCTGACTAGGCAATTTGAGCCTTGTTAGCTACACACATGTATAATAATGATGTCATGGGCTGAGCTCTGCTCAGCTCTGACAGAATACCCCTACTCATGCTACTCTCCATAGTAGCTAGCCGACCTTCTACAGCATCTGGTGCTCCCACTGCATGTCAAGACCTGACACACTGCCAGGAACAGGTCCTTCGCTGCTGGATGCCTGCCACTAGGAAGTTATGAAATTCTACGATGGCATTAGATGCTTTCAGTAAAGACTGATTGATTAAAGCTAAGCTCAGCAGCAAATCAAAGTCTGTAGTTACTGTCACTACAGTTAACAAACTTGAGCAAATCACAGTCACTTGTGCCGGAGGGGACCAAAAGGCATCATCTGTGTCATTTCCTTGCTGGGATCAACCTGCCCTGATGAATATCTGTCTAACTTCTTCTTAGAGCCAAGAGCGGACAACCCTTCCAGTGCTCACCCATCCTAATGCCAAGAAATTATTTATCATCTGCACTGATTCTCCCCTTTTTTTCAGGGAGGGCTGAGCAAGCACAGGGTCCACAGTCAGGCAGCTCATAGGACAGACTTTTACGTGAGCTGACAGTGCTCGGGAGGAGAGCATTTAGCCAGAATACCCTCCTCCTCAAAAAGGATAACTATCACCTCTCTAAGGACTTAGCTCCACCATCACCCTTATTTATCCTAAATCACCTGTACTGCCAAAAGGGGCTATTGCCCCTTCCCCAGCTTGTCCCTGCCCATTTGCTTGTGCTGGTGTAGGTGTTCATGGGGGCCAACATGGGGAAGTTGTCCATCCAAAGACCAACCAAGCAACCCATGGAGTTTCCCTCAGATAGGTTCCCACTCCAGCTCGCCACAAGGCCTTTCCCAGGCATAGCAAGGGGGAAGTAACAACGAGTGGCCATGACCAGCCCTTCAGGCAAACCCCAGTGGTGGGGAACGATGACTTGGCCCTAACCTAGACAAGGGGTGGACTCCCCAGCACCCACCTACACAAGCCTGCTGGCCAAGCTCTTCCTCTCTTCCCTTCTCACCACTTCACCTTTCTTCTCCCCTCCTTAGCTTTCTTCACCCACCTCTCGCTTCTCCCCTGCTCAACCTGCTCATTCCTTTGCCTCCATTTCCCTTGGCCTTCTCTACCTTTCCATTGTCATTATTTGCTCCACCATACTTCCATGATCTTCTGGATTTTGCTAAAAATCACCATGTTGTCCTTGCTTCCTGATACATACTCAGGTCTCTTATTCAGGCAAACATTCCTATGTGTGAAGAGCAGCTCAAGGTGGCAAGAAGTCCACGAGTCAACCCATCCAGACCTGCTAATATCTCACGTGCTGTGCCCCTTGTGGAGCTGGTCTCCACACACCTGCTGCACCTGCAGTTGTGCTTGATACAGTCGGCCCCAGGAAAGTATCGATGTTTAAGGGTGGGATGCAGCACACGATGGGTTGGCCCTATGAGGATGCTGAAAACACACTGTGCTGTGGTCAAGGAGGAGACAGGGTGATGGGGAGGCAGAGAATCAGGCCCCTCGCTTTCAGCGTCTGGTGCCAAAGCTCTGGTTTTGATGGGTTTCACCGCTTTGAGTCATTTATTTTAGTGGGGTAATGAAGTCATGTGTAAATGTTAGATTTAGCTTTTGGCTGTCAGCTGTTCCCTCTTAAAAAAAAATTAGGAGAAAGAGAGACAGCGGGCAAGGGGAGGCGTGAGAAAGAGAGAGAGGTTTCTGGTGAAGGCTGGGTAATAAATTACAGGAGCAGTTCTTGGGCTGCCAATTTAACACCATAAATCAAGCCCTGGGTATTACCCAAGTGCTCCCTGTGGAGGGCTGTCGGGTCAGAACGACCACCTTTTCAAATACTGGAAATGAAATCTTCCTAAATGCTGACCAACCTCATCCCTGCCAGAAATGGTAATTTATTGCCTTATTAAAGGGTAGGAATCAGGAGAGGACGGCAGGGGAGTGAGCAAGGGGGGAGTCACTCTCATGGCTGCCTATGGCCAGACCCCGAGCTCTCAGCCCCCAAAGCGATGAAGCAGCCTCCTTCCCCCTCACCCCATACGCCAGACCGGGGCATGCCCCTGAGCCAGCGGTGCCCTCCCACCTGCCACGTGCCCACCGCCGGGACAGTTGTTTTAAGTCGGCGCCAGCCAGGGACTGATTCTGGTCTCCACTTATGTGACGGATTTCAGAGGTCACAGCCGCAGTCATAAATGATGAAGAGGGGGGATTTAAAAATAGTGACGGCTCTATGCGGCTGCCTCCCTCTGCGGTACCTCGTGGCATGGTGGGGGAGAGGAAAGGGGAGGGGGGTTGGTGTCTGCTGCCAGGGCACTTTCCAAGGGCTCGTGCATGAACCAGCAGCCCCAGGGCAAGGGAGTGCAGTGCAGTGATTGCACAGGGGACAGAGGGCACTGAGGTTCCTGGGTGCCAGCCCCAGTTCTGCAAGGACATGCCCAAGAGCAGGAGACACGTTACCTCCTGCTCTGCCCAGCCCTGGGTGTGCTCCTGCAGGGACATCGGTCCCCCAGACGCACAGGGGACAGCAATCACTCACCTTGATGGCTGGTGCAGGATGAAAACATATCCAGAGCCAGTATTGATGGCTGGTGTGGGATGAAAACGTATCCAGAGCCAGCAAAATGCTGCTCTATCTCACCTAGGAGGAAGGTGCTAAAGAAGAATGAACCAGCATGAAGAAGCAAATAAGATGATTCTATGATTCTATAAGAAATGATACCTGGGCTGGAGGGAAGGATGAGCTTCCTGGGACCACTGTGGGGATAGGATGGCTGCCTGGCTGCTGTGTTCCCATATGGGGTGATTTTGTCATAAATTCAGATTTTTGCACTCTACTGAGAACTGACCTGGGTCTGCCAGACCCTTGTCTGAGAGGACAATGAGTCCAGGACTCGATGGCCTCTTATCACAGCCTCCCATCAGTACATTGCATTCCCCCTCGGTACCAGAAGGCAGCTGCTCTGGAGATGCACTTCGTCTCCTGCGGCTGTCCCGGCTGCCTGCCTGGGTGACTCGCTCGAGCAAAGGAGAGGCTGTGAACCCTGGGCTGATGCCACATGCTGACCCCGTTGTTGCTGGTAGCCACAATTAGGGGCACTGAAGGAAGATTTTAACTTAATTATTTGTCCTGCCTCCTCCTAAAAGCCAGGCTCTGTTTGCAGTGGTCAAAAGAATTGTCCCAAAAATACAGTAAGAGAAAATAATAGAGAAATCTCCCTGTTGCTGTGTCAGGAAGCACTCTGGCTGCACAGATCCAAAGGTCTGAATGCACAGTAGCATTAAACCTTCACTGGTTTAGACAGATTCTTCTGTTTTGTTGGAACAAATTAACACTGTGAGATTTGCTTGGTGTCTGTAAGAGGAATGGGGGGAGCAGGAAAGGGGTTGTTGTTGCTAAAGGAGACTAGCAGGATGAGGCAAGCCAGGTGCCAAGATGCTGCTGACCACAGAAAGTCCTGGTTTAGGGCCACCTATGAGCTAAGTTTTTAATGTCTCCTTAATGTAAACCGTCTGGTTGGGACATCTGGCTGTCAGTGTGTCTTCTCGCAAGCAGCTGTTTGCAGTAACCTGTGGCTTTCATGGAAACTGGGCTCATGAGGACTCCAGTGTGATGTATTTATTACACGGAGGCAATCAACTTCCCTCTTGTCGCTCAGTTTTATGAGCGAACATTTACTGTGAAGCTGAGGCTCATCTGATAAACATTTCAAGGTACGAAAATGAATGTCTCCCTGGGAAGGAGAACAGTCTGTCAATTAAAATCGTGTTACGAGATGGCCTCCCTTGGCAAAGCCTCACTCGCGTCCCGCTACGTCAGTGCCTCTGTTTCTGTCCAAGCTCCCTGAGAAGCAAGGCTGGTCGGCAGAGCTTCGCTCTTGTCAAGAGCCTGGCACCGGCTGCCGTGGCATTTATAGATACTTCTCCTTGGCTGTAAGTCACATATTTCTCAAGTACAGAACAGGGGCACACAAGCACTGCTAGGAGCTCATCTGGCTTGGCGAGGAAGGCAGACAGCAGCCGAATTGACCACTGACTCCAGATGTAGCTTGGTATAGAGTCGGGCAATACGGGCAATTTAAATGTTACCTTGCAAATCTCATGGCTTGATGCAGGTATCAGGCTAGATGGCATCCTTCAACAAGTGTGTTGGATCCCAAGTAATGGACAAAATAAGGATGCGTAAGAAGAGGCTGATGGTTCCCAGTGATTTATATAGAGAGGAGCAATTGAAAAGGACAAACAAGTCTGGAGTGTCATCAAAGAAGGAGGAAGGCAGTGGGAAAGATGAGAGTGGCTCCATGCCAGAGGCTCATGAACTACCAAAGAAACTATGACCAAGGTCATCTCTGGAGGAGGGCAAGCCCCAGGCCAGCTTGGATTTATGTCCAGGAGGGGTGTAAACTGTTGTGAGGAGCTGTCATCCCAGTATTATGGACAGAGCCTCAGTTCTGTCCAGCAAGCAGGTAGAAGCAGGGATGAGAGAAGGAAAATCTTTTCCAATTATTCATGGACTGCAAGACCCTGTTCCTCCACCTTCCTCTGCTTCAGCTTCTCAGAGAATAACATGTTAGATGAAGATGCTGGATGAACCATGTCTCTAAAAGCTTCAAAGCAAGTCAAGGGTATTTGAATCCTATAAGAGTTCTCAAGATGTCCAGAGGGATACGGCTACTTCTGAGCATTTCTTGCTGAGTGTTTCCCAAGGGACTGGGTGGCAGTCTGGCCTTTGCCAGGACACTGCCAGCCCCCTGGATCCCATGTAGTCCATGGACCTCTTAGTCCTGAGCTGTGATGTCTCTGAGTCTTACCACCCCTTTCACTGTATGCTGGGGTTTTGCAGATGCAGTCCCTCTGGAAAGGTTGCTCTTTATACTCTCAAGAACAATCTTCTCCTAGCTTTCCTCAGAGCATCAATAAAGCTGTATCTGCGTAACAGATGAGGTGCTGTGCACTTGCTGGCATCCTTCACTATGTCCCAGGCCTAATTTACACGCTTTGCCCCTCAACCCCCCCAGCTTTTCCAACACACTCAGCTCATCTGCAGTATCACCTGCCTGGTTCAGGCTGGTTGCTAGATGTCCTACAAGCATTCATCCAAAGACCATCCAGCTGCTAGATGTCCCATAAACATTTATCCAAAGACCGACTGGCACCTGGGACTCTCAGGGGATGGGCAGGACAGCTTGGTGAACACCAGAAAGGAACTTCTCTCAGCTACGAGGAGAAGGCAATGAGGTTCACTTCCTCAGTGGCCAAGCAGAGGGGTGCTCCAGGTGGCGGGGCAGGGGAGGACAGAGGGAAGGGACAGGTACCTGGGCCCCAGCTCATCCTCACTGCGCCAGACGAAGTCTCCAAACTTCTCGTAGTGGGATTAGAGCATGGAAGCGGAGACCTCCATCAGTGTGTTATAGGCCGTCTGCTGCTCCTTCCCACTGGTGTAGCCGTTGTAGAGATTGTAGATTTTGTCAGCTATCTCTGGAAAGGATGAGGGGGATGGGATTAATGAACAGCCAGAAGGTGCTAACACAGGAGGAGGAGCAAAGCCCTCCACAGGGCTGGCAGGAGGGGTGGGCATCTGGGATGGCTGCCAGTCCCTTGGGGCTGCCTGCAGCAGGGTTTAGTGACGTGGGGAGCATTTAGCAGTTCCTCAGGCTGATCCTGCAGCAAGTGTCCTGCATGAGTGGAGCAGCCCCAAAGACTCCAGCAATGCTCCATGAAGGAACAGGAGGAGAGGAGCAGGGCTGCCAGCACAGGCAGACGCAGCCTTGTTGTCCCAGGTAGGGCAGGCAAGCTCTTCCCTAATTCACCAAAACAAAAGCAGTTGTACCGCTTCCTGATCCTAAAGGGTAGGAAGAATATGACACTGTTGATAACAAGATGCTACTTGAGCCAGAAATACAGCACATCATCCTTGTGGGTATCTACTAGAGCAGCTCAGATGCATTAAACAAGAGGGTGCTCTCTCTGCTGTAGAAAAGGATCGCTTTTTGGAAATGAAAAATGCACAAAACTCCATTTCCTTCCTAAAGAAGAGTCTCCCATTTGCTCATTTTTCCTGGGAATGCTTATCAATAACATGGAACAAAGCATCAGTCAAAACTTTCTTTTGTGTGCTTTTCAAAATAGAAAGCAAGCAAGAAAGAAAACAGGTAACTCACCTTTCACTTAGGGAAATCTTTTTAAATTTGAAAGCAGCCAAGCGTTCTGGGCATAAGAACAAGTGGGATTGGTTTCAAAATTGGAAAATGCAAATGTGCAAAAGTGGCTGGGCTTTTATCGGTATTTCTGTTTCAGAAACGAACCAGCTGTCACCAGCATCCTTTTAAACACCCGAAGCCAACAATGTCCTACACTGCTCACTGCCCCTGCACAGCGAGGGCTGCCTCTCGCTTCTGCAAGAAGAGATTGCTCTTTTTCCACGGGATGTGAGTCGAACGCGTGTTACCAACTCCCACGGCTGTGTGCGGGCAAGGATGCCGTGGCACTGTGTGGCACAGGACCGCGGGAGCCACCATCTGCCCAGCCAAGGGGACTTTGCTACTGGACACTCTTGCAATTTCTCACCCCTCCCCACATTAACGTCCCTGTGGTCGTGGGTGAATTTACAGGAGCCTTCACACTGGGAGAGGAGGGACTGGAGGGGCTTGCAGGAGTACAATGAAGAGAGGAAAAGGAAAATTAGCAGGAAATGTCTTCTGTCGTGGAAAATGTGGTGCCTGAACACTGACCTTCTGCCTTGCTGTCATCTACCAGTGGGCAGGCTGTCCTCAGGGTGACCGTGCTCAGCTCTGAGTGTCTCCCTCGCGTATCTACCGCGTAGAGGGTAAATCTGGAAGCAGGAAGGAAAAGGAAAATAATGTCTTTATCCCTCAGTCCCACACCTCCAGGTTGTTATGGGAACCGGCCTTCACAAGAGAAAGGAAAAATGTGGTCCAGGCTCCTATCAGTCAGTTTTGGCATTTCAAGGAGATGTGAGACGATCTCGGGCTTAGACCAAGAGAGCACCAGGGAAAGGATCCAGGGCCAGGGGGACAGGCCACAGCATCCCCACGCAGCATCTGCGGAGCTGCATTTCCTCTCCCCCCGATGTCCCTGGGAGCCCTGGGGGGCTGCACCCTGCAGCTGTGTGACTGCGAAAGGATGCAAACATCTCAGGTTGCTTTGCCATGTGCTGATGCAAACATTATAATGTTGTGGTGTTTGCAAGCCGGGCTCCTCTCTGGCCCTCCTGAGAGCAGAGCAGTAATTCTTGCTGTAAGCGGGCCCTGTGCTGACAAGTGACAGCTCGTACACATCCTACAAATGGCCCTTGAGGTTGTTTTTCTCCCTCATTTCCTCACCAGGGTGGGGTTGGTAAAAGGGTGGGAATAATGATTTCCCACTTGAAGCTAATGGAGAGCATCTGCCAGTGAAATCGGCTTTTGTGTCGGATGAAGCATTGAATAAACAGGTTGTGGCTGCACGGGACATCTCAGGATGCTGAGCTCAGAGTCCTGGTCAGAATATCAAAGATCCAGAATGAGAATGCTTCTTTGCAGCAGGGATGACAATCTTCTGTCCACTCTCCCAAAAGGCATCAGTTCATATTTATTCACTCTGAGCCAGGCACAGAAACTCGAGCTGGCTTTGACAAAGTGCAGGGGGTGGCTTGAACCCCTCGGAGGTCTGAGATGCCTGGTGGCAGGGTACCCAGCTCCCAAGAAATAACACAGCCCCTCTCCTTATCCTAAGGTAAAACCAAGCAGCTCTTGCACGTGAGTGCAGAGTACCATAAAGCAGCTGAAGCTTAAAGGGGATTGAGACCCTGAGGTATGTTTACTTAAGGAATGGTCCTAACTCCTTAGCATCTTTAACGGGGACAGAAGCAATTTCCTCATCCCACACACGAGCACTGCCAGCCCCGCTCTCTACTCCCTGCTGGCCCTGCGCACCCCACATGCAGCTGATAAGAGCTGACATTTGCATGGTAGCAATTCCCAGCACAGGCCATAGTCTCTCCAAGCAATTAGCATTAGTTCCTTAACAATACTTGCTGTCTGAAAGGATGCCAGCAGACTGCCAAGGAACCCACTTGTGTGTAGGGACAACTCCCATTTTCACAAAGCTGGGGCATGCAGGGGATGAACATGCTGAGCTCACCCAAGGAGATGCTATTTAATTCTTTGGCATGACATCATTTTCCTTAATTTACAAGGAACGTTGCTCAGAGTGGGAGCATCTCAGGAAGGATGTCCGCACTGTGCAACTTCACAAGTACCACACACAGGCTGTTCTCCCGCTATAATTAAGGGACAGCAACAGAGCAATAGAGTAATATCAAATTCAGGGCAGGAGTCTATCTTCAGGGCTTTGCATCCCATCCCAGAGGTGCCATCCCTCCTCCTCCCTTCAATAGACGAGGAGTTCAAGGTGCGTAAGGAGTCTCTTGCTGTGAGCAGGTAAGGTATGTGTCTCTGCAGCTTGGCAGCATGAATCCCCCTTTTTCCAGGTCCAGAAAGCAACAGCAATAGGGGCACACAGTGTTGGGTGAGGGGACCTCAGCCCCAGCAACATGAGGAACTCTGCAACAGGAGAGCTGGGCAGAGACCCCAGGAGTCCTGCTGCCTGCCCAGGTGCTCAGCAGTGGGCAACGCTCTTCTTGCTCATCAGCATAAGCACAACAAGCAGTAAAGAGGGCTTAACAAGCAGGTTACTGCTGCGAGCTGATCTCCATCCCCATCCTGGGGTCACTTGCTTAGCCACAGCGGCTGTGTTGTTGTGTTTTCTTTTTAAATGGATGAGCACAGCTAATGTGTAACCTCTGCTCTGCCCATAGTGGCTCAGTCAGTAAGGCTCCATTAGCTCTGAGGCAATCAGTGCCAGAGCACTTTCCTTGAAAAACAGCAGACTTTTATCAAAACACAATTGTAATATTTGGCAATTAGTGCCCACATCACCTATTCCATCACCAGTGGGGTCAGGAAGAAGCACCTCCGCTTGGCAGGGTGTTAAAGCACATCCACCCTTTTGGGTGATGTTAAAGACCTGCATTAGCCCTTTGACTGCACTTTTCCCCTCTGCCCAGCACACACAGAAACAAAGTCACTCAGCTGCCAAGAGCAAGAGCTCTGGTACTGGTCAGGCCTGGGTTAAAAAATATATATCAACAAACAAGCCCTTCATTTAATCATTTTTTCAGCTGATAGAAGAAAAAAAAACCCAAAATGTAAATGGAAAAACTTCAGAATCAAAGTGATTTTGATCTGGTCAAAAATTCTTTTTTGAGAAAACAATTGCTTTACCTCACCTGAAACCAGTCCTCTTTCAAGAACCTTAGAGGAAAGTTTTTCATTTCCATTCACTCTGAACGAGATGTTTTGGAATCAGCACCAATAAATTCAGCTCTGGTGGAAGCTGGCAGTCCCGGCAGTACGTAGCCCTCCGCACCTCTCTAGCTCCTTCCAGCGAGTGATCTCAGAAGGTTTTAACATTGATTACAGTCCAAAAGATCACCCTGAAGTGCAGCAGTATTAATAGCTCTGTTTTATCTATGGTAAACAGAGACGTATGGGGTGAAGCATCGTGCCCCAGAGAGGCTCAGTGACATGAACGGTTTGGAAACTCGGGAGATGACGGTTTCCAATCTTGTTCTCAAACCACTTGACCACCCAGCCTCTCTGCGGCAAAACACTTTTATGGCCAGTTAATGGCACTGCGCAGAGTGCTGGGGTTTATTTTTTCTTTTATTCCCGGAAACAGACAATTAAGAGAAGAGAGTGCAAAGATCTGCAGCATTAACAGGCAGATCTTGCTTGCTGCATCTAAAAGAAACCTCTGGCAGATGCAGGCGTGGAGCCTCCGGCAGGGATGAGACCAGCCTGGGACCCAACAGGGCTTGAAGAGGTCAGCCGGCGGGAGGAGAAGGACCACCACCGCATGGGAGGGATGGGGATGTCTGTGCAGCAAATAAATGGAAAATGAAAGCGAGCATGACTGAGGGAGGGAGCTACGCAGAGCATGTGGTGGGCTGGATTCTAGCTCTGCAATGCTATGTGGAGATCCTCCTGCCATACTTACATCTACATGCAGCATTTTGGGCTGAGAACCAAACCAAGCAGCATCCCCACCATCAATGATGGAGCTGCACATGGTTATGCCAACCCTGATATTTTGTAAAAAACCCCAATGAGGCCAAAAAGTGGTTCTGAGCATTTTTTCCCAAGGCAGAGGATCTCTGGGGTAGAGTCAAAGCCGGAAACAAAAAGGCCCCAGACCCACACTTGGTGCATGAAACAACATCAGACAACCTGGAATGTCATATGGTAGCTACAATCTGGCAGAGCCTCCTTCATAACCTGGAGGTGTTTTGTTTAGCAATAAACTTTTCCCACGATGTTTTCTCATCTTCTACCTGTGCCTTCCAAAGGAGCTTGGGACTACCTGCTACTGCCTCACAGCCGACCCTCTTTTTCACCTGTGCCTTCAGTAAGATCATACATGAACAGTTGCTTTTCTAGAAATACTAAGATATATTTTGCCCAAAGAGGTTCCAAAGAGCATTTCACCACTGGAAGCACATATGGTCTTGGCAGAGATTAGCCCCTCCAATGCCTGGAAACGCTGCCACCTCTGCAGCAAAACACAACACATGAACTCCTATAAAGTAATGCTGCTTAAATGTTTACTACTAAATTCAAACCTATTGGGACCCAAAGGAACTTTTAGAGAGAGATAGAAAGCAATTAACATGTGGCCTCATGAAATGTCAACAACACCTTCCTCGTAGATACCCCACCCAATGTTGGCTGAAGCCTGGATTTTATCACTAGGCTCAAGATGCTTCTTGAGGGAGGAAGAGAAAGCGGAGGGGGGTGTTAAAGCTTCGGTTCCTGGAATCCAATGATTGTGGAAGATTGTCAATTGTGTTAAAAAAAAAAAAAGAAAAGAAAAGAAAAATATGTTTCTATCCTTTCTCAATGCAGAGAAAAGAAGAACCCAAAATACAAAATTCTAAAGGCACAAAACCGTAAAGCTGAGAATGAAACCCCAGAGCATGTTATTTATTTATAGACAACAACATTGGCTCATGTTTTTTTAACTCCCTCTCATGATGTTCATGATGTTTGAGTGCTTTACTCATGATCCTTATTTGCGGGAAGGGAGATAAGGACTTCTGCATCTGACCTTCCTTGGCTCGGCAGCTCATTTCTTTATATCCTACAGAGATACCATAGGCATTTCTGTTCTGTCTTGTGCACTGCTCTTCCTGAAGCCTTTGGGCTTGTTGCAGCTGCTTGATGAGATGCTGTACCACAAATGGGCTGCCTGGGCTGCAGAAAAGGGTCCGATAAGGAGTCCAATAAACACTCCTGCAGCTGCCAAACACCCACGCTAAGTAACCGGGTGCCTACAGGTAGCTGGTTGCATCCAAAAGCAATGACTGTGTGGCAAACCCTGTCTGTTCTAAGGAGACCCCTGCATCACATAAATGGGGGACAGGGCAGAAAGGCTGCTCCAGAGTCCAGCATCATGCAGAAATCTCATGCTTTCTGCAGTGGTGTAACCACAAGATGCTCTTGCCAGTAGGACTTGACTTGAGCTTGGATGATAAGCCTGGGCTTGGTGCCTTGCTCCTGCGGCCATGAGACTCTGTTTTGCTGCTAGCTCCAGGAACTTGGCACAAGGCAGACCTGGCCAGTGTCACACACACGGTGCAATGGATTGTCTCTTCTCTGGCAGCGTGGGTACCACCACCCATGATGCTGAGCACGAAAACACAAATCCTGACCTGGCTGAGGTCGCATCACTTTGGTGTTATGTGCATGTCCTGCCATCACCCTTTGGTCGGTC